GACTTTGTAAACAATCTGCTTTTCCTGAGTCCATTCACATCAATGTAAGCATGCTTCATTTTGCAGTAAAGTTTGACTTTTTACTTTTTCAGTTCCTTTACATCTTCTAGAATTGAATCATAGCCGCCAGGAACACACCGTAGAGCAGTCAAGGAGAAAATTCTATTCCTAAATATCTCTAAATTTCCAGGAAATTAAGGTGAACGTGAACTCAGGCAGTTATTTCTAGGATTATAACCTTGCTGCATATTCGTTTACAGTAACTAGCTATCACCTGCTTGGACTAAGCTATCTTGGAATTTAGCAAATGGTCTTTTCTTTTTTACAATAACAACAAAATTCATAAATTATTAAAAGCTAAGCAAGTAACAATCACAAACAAGAAAAGATTAATAATCCAACATTTGGACCATTTGTATGTGATTATATGCGGGTGGTTGAGGCTAATTGAAAGCAACTGCACGTAGAAACGTATGAAAATCTTCGTTCACTTTTGAAACTTTGAGCAACATAGGTTGGTTTGTCAAATGAAAGAATTGAAAATTCTAGAATTGTAAAGCCATCATTTTCTTTTGATCTAATGCAAGTTAGAATATTAATGCAGGTGATGAAAGTATGAAAATGTATATTTAAAATATATTTAACTATTGACATTTGTAGAATTATGAGTTTAAGAGTTGTATTTTTTTACAAGTAATTTCATAATTGTTCATTCTATTTATGTTGTGTAAATTTTTGATGATTAAAGATTTGATAACTGAATGGAGAGAATTAGAAGAAAAAGACTCAAATATAAAGAGCCAAAAAGATGAGGGTCCAAAGATCAAATTTAGAAGTTTGAAGGCTCAAGTGAGATTTTCTCCATTCTTGATCAAGGAGCAAATTACAAAGCTTAGAAATATGATGATCAACTTGTGCGGAATCCAGGAGTCAGGGACAATGACTGTTATTTTTCAAATTTGAAAACTCTAAAAATTATGTTTACAAATTTCATATAAAATTAGTCATGCTCTTTTTATGTCTAATTTGTTATAATATAATTGATTGATAAATTTGTTTTGCGGGTTGATACTTTACTGCAGTATTGTTGATTAGATATATTGTCGCTCTTAGGTCGTAATGATAAATTAATTTGTTCTTCATTGAAATTAATTTCTCACAAAATAAATACATTAGTTATTATTATTGGTTTTCAAAGTTAAATTTTTTGATTGTTTGTTTGGGATGTGAAACATGCAATTAAGTAATAAATAAGTTTGAAGTCTTGTTCATCATAATATTGTTTTCAATCCTTTATAATTATTATTTTTTATTTAAATATTTTTATTTTTAATTTTAGAAATCACCTTTGTGACAACTCTTTTTATTAGTTTAATATAGCTTTACTGTGAATTCGAGACCTAAAACTACTTACAACAATCACTTAGCTGAAGTATTTTAATTTTGGGGCAAGACATCAGCAGGATTAAATTAAAGTCTAAGCAAGCAAATTAATTTTATATCTACTTAATTGTACGTTAAATGGATTCTATAGGTCAGTTAGTTGATATAACCTGCGATGTGCTTGGCAGAAACTGTTAAATAATGAGTCACATTGTGTACCATACAATGAGAAAGTGAAAACTTAGGAAGTCAGATATAACAAAACATGTGAATTGAAAAAAACAAGTTCAAACGAAGAGAAGTCATTTTAAG